CTCTACAGTTTCTAGTTTCTGTGTGGTGCTCTTTCCCTTTTTATTTTCATTTTCTTATAATTGTTGCTCTTTGTTATTAGTATAACTTTTTTTATTTGATCTCGCTCTCCCAAAACGTGTTCTTCAACAAAGGAGCACACGGCATGAAAAATCCATTCAAATGTTTAGCGGTGGTAATTAATATTAAAGTTTTCCACGTATTATTGTATATGGTCAAATTCAGGCTTGCCTAATTTTGTATGGCTGACCGAAATCGGGATGGTAGATCAAAGCTTGGCCCCGGTTATATCCGACCATAGTACAGATATGGATTGGTAAGCTCGAGGAGCGATGGCCGACCAAGATCGAGAGCAAAACATGAAAGAGATCGAAGGAAGCCTCTCAGGTCGAATAACAGGAAGCCGAGATATCCGTGATCGGGCAAGGATCGTGGCGGAGATCTTGGCACGCATCAAGTCTAGACCGGTTATTTAGCCCATCATGGGATTTACTTCCGTAATTAGAATTATACCCTAAATAGGATTCCACTACTATATAAAGAGGATTATAATCATTTAGACACATTGTTCTCACGCATCAAAGCAATATAACACTTTCTCTTTAGCTCATTTGTTCATCAGCTTGTCATTTGTTTTACTGTTCTTGCACCAACCAGTTCGAGGGCATCCAAGCTCGAGGGCTGAATTACGTTGTAACACTGGTTTACTTTATCTTATTGTCAATTTCCATTATTAATCTTTATATTCATCAATTGGTATTAGGTGAAATCACATATCCTTAAAACCACATTATAAGTTTAATTGTTATCCAATTTTTAGGGTAAACAATTATATATATGTATATCAGTGTGAGAATTTTAAAAAGTTGAACCCATCCAATATATTTAAATCCTGAATTTGCTTATGAATTTTCGGTGGTATTAAAACATAAAATAAGCAAATTTGTATACCCATTATTCGTATGAAATAGCTAGCTAGAATATACTTGAGTAAAAAGAAATTTGTTGTGGGGCATTATGGGATTTGATGATGCAGAGGCATAAAATGAAATGTGGGAAGATGCTCCTAGTTGCATTTTGGAATAAGGATATCCTTTTTGTTTTTTAGCAAAAAGCTAAGCATAATTAAAGGCTATATGACAAGTTCGGAGTCGTAAGATTCCATAAGGATGTTTAATTTTATAGGTTTGTATGTATGTGTCAAATGTAATAATTAATCAAAAAAGTAGTTATCTTGTGAGAGGAAACAAAAGCACGAATTGCAGGATATGCTATGTTACTAGAGGAAGCAGGATTCTTGGATTTTCCACCTTTCTTTTAACTTTGCCTCCCCCCACCCCCCACTATACCTAGATTCCTTTACATAACCACTCTTCTCTTATCTTAATTACTTAATTAGGTCACCACCAATAACTAGAATCAACATCTATACTATTATATCAACTATATAAGCGAGTAACTCATTCATTTGACTATTATAATTCCACCAACTAACTCATGATTCCTCATTAAATACTTTAATTAATTTGCTCTCTTCGATTCCCCTCGCAGCCAAACCGTAACACCTAAGTATTGACCGACGTGGAATCAAAGTTTCAGTTCAGTGAGTGTGAAATGCAATTGTACAATATTTCACAATAATAATGTCGTTTCAGTCCCAAACATATCGGCTACATGAATATTCATTTACCATGCATGTCCCTCCAATTGAATTCATTCCAATCCTATCTTATATAAAATAAAACAAAAGTGCCTAGAAGTCTCCATATTTTATGACATATAATATTCTATAACAAGACTATAAGACTCTTAAAAACATTGTATCTAAAGTAAACATACTAACATGACAAACTTAATCTCGGCTAATTAATATCATATCTATAGATCGTTTTCTTTTTTGACATTATGCCACTGAAACTTAAATGCAAGTTCTATAGAGCGTTGGTTAGACCGATCATGTTGTATGGGGCTGAGTGTTGGCCAGTCAAGAATTCTCATATTCAGAAGATGAAAGTAGCCGAAATGAGGATGTTGAGATGGATGTGCGGGCACACTAGGCTGTATAAGATTGAGAATAAAGATATTCGAGAGAGGGTGGGCGTGGGTCCCATGGACGACAAGATACGGGTAGCGAGGCTTAGATGGTTCGGGCATATGCGGGGAAGGAGCCTAGATACCCCGGTTAGGAGGTGTGAACGGTTGGCTTTTATAGGTACAAGAAGAGGTAGAGGGCGACCCAATTAGGAGTATTGGGGCGAGGTGATTAGGCAGGACATGACGCAACTTCAGATTTTCGAGGACATGGCCCTGAATATGTCGAGCATTAGGGTTGTAGGTTAGGGGTTACTTCAGCGATTTTCCTTGTTGTTCCAGCTTGTCTGATAGTGTTTTGTCTAAGACTGCTAGCGAATTTTGTTCATCACACTATTTTTATTTTCAATTATTATTTTTATTTTTTCCAATGTTATTGTTATCATAATTATTGTTCTTCCACTTATTTGTTGTCTCTTATGATGTTGATACTATTTGTTTGATTTCTGTTGTTGTAACAGATTCTTTTGTCTCTGAGCCGAGGGTCTCCCAAAAACAGCCTCTCTACCCCCCTCTCCCTGTATGGGTAAGGTTTACGTACACTCTACCCTCCCCAGACCCTACTAGTAAAATGATTACTGGGTTGATATTGTAGTTGTTGTTGACATTATGCTCTATATAGATCCTTGTTTAACATTATGCTCTATTTTCACAAGAAAGTTGTACAACTCATAATACTTTGTCATAATGAATACAAACATTGTATACAAATATACTTCTTAGAAGTTATTTAATTTGAACAGAGGTTTGAGGTTCGAGTCCTGAAATGAGAAAAAGTCACTCAATGAAATTGTTCGCCTTTGTTTGAAATCGACATGAATGAACAAGCACTAGCACGGATGAAATTCAGGGAAAATATGGAAGCGGTCGCTATACTTGGGAGGGCACGATATGACTGCGGAGATGCCCTAGCTTTTGAAGATTACTTTATTAGCCAGTTCCGAAAGAACATAAGTGGAGAATTAATCTTCACTAGATTTGATCCAAAAAATTAATACATGGTAGAGTTACCTTAGGTGGTGAGTATTTGATGGGTAATGTTTAGGGAAGAAATTTTTATTGTAGATTACTTTTTTATTTAAATAGTGCCAAATTCAAATATAAAAGGACTAAATACAAAAGGCCCCAGAGAAGAGTACTAGTTTAGGTACTAATAATATCAATTCTTGTAAATACAAATGAAAGAGGAAGAATTTTAGGATGGTCATTTTTAAAGAGTAATATATATAAAATCTTGTATTCAAGACCCTACAAGACTCCATATTCTTCCATAAACAAAAGGTCCCACAGAAGAGATACAAAGGGTAATGGAAAAACCTAGCAGACGCCCTAGCTAATTAGTAGCTAGGCCAGGTTTAATATTTGAATATCAATCGATGATGCTCCTCTAAAAAGAGTTTATTATTGATGGGAACCTAAATTATCAAAGGAGTTAGGAAAATCCCAGGCCAGAAAAGCACACAACACAACACAAGCATATACTCACTATATCAGACAGAAACAGAAACAGAAGGAAGAAAAGATGGATGGATGGAAGTAGTTGACGTAAGTTGCATAATTGCCTCTCATGCGTGCACCATCTTATCTATCTATCTATTCCATATGTATTGTATTGTATTATATGAATACATCCATCACCACCACAGGCTCCTAAAAAATGCGCCATACAACTCACAACACACAATTCTTGCAAGTAAAGAGAGAAAGAATCGCTTATTCTTGTAAAAATATTGTACAGTGAGTAGGTCTCTTGCGTGAGTTAGCGTCAATACATCAACTTGTAGTAGTAACCATCTTATCAACCTGTCAAGTATCACCTACTACTTCCCTTTTCCCTATAATATTAAATCTCTTCCTTCACTCTTTTGGTACTAATATTCTTGCGTCATTCTTTTACTCTACTTGTTTATATATGTATATATTTTCTCCTTCTGCTTATTCAGCTAAAAACCATAATCATGTATACTTTACGTCAACTCACCACTGATTCATTCACTAATTACTCTCTCAGAATCTGTGCTTATGACTGAGTTCTGATGATGAATGAAGGCATGGCTGCAAAATCATTAAACGAAAGATCACAAGATGGTGTGGACGAAGTTATAGTAGAGAAAAAAAGAAGGAGTGGTGGTCCTTGGGAAAAAACACTAGACACGAGAGAGATCCCTTTGGTGGGGTGGCCCTAATGGGTGGGGGGCAAAGTGGAAAACAAGAATAAACCCTATTTGAGAACTTTGATGGTTTTGTTGAGGGGACAAAAGGCAGAAATTAGGGCAATAAATGGTTCAATATCAAAGACAGCCAACACTACTTGTGTATGTATACGGGGTTATTTAACAATTCTCATGCAGCCATGTCCAAGAATCTCCTACTTCTTCTTCTACCATGAAAGCACTCAACAAGAAACAGAAACAAAAACAAAAATAAGAAATTTTCCGAAAAGAAGAAGAAATGGGGTATACACCTTTCTTGTTGGCCATGTCTTTTTCCAAATATGAGCACTTTCCATTAATACCAGAAATCTTTTGTAAAGTACAATAAAAAAAAGCAACAAGATAAAGACTTTGATAAGGAATAACCAATAAAGTAAACAAATATGCTAGCTAGTACTAAATGAAAAGGTGAAGCATGATTAGCATTAAAGAGAAGATATATAATGAACCATCCACCTTAATACAAAATGACAAACAGACCTAAAGAACAATTTGATGGTTAATTAACACCTTTAATGGGAATATATCATTTCCCACTCGAAGTGCCACATACCTAACAATCGTTGGCCTCTAATTAAATAGACTGATAAAATTTGGTAACAGAATCTTTCAGTAACAACAAAAATAATAAAAATAAAAATTAAGTTCAGCATCTGCATTATACAAAGACTTAGTTAAATATATATCATTATCAACCTATAACTACTACGTAAGTAGGCCTATGTTAAAATTAAAACATTCATCAGCTCAATAACCTCAAACCCAAACAAGTTAAAATAAAAAAAAAGAACCTGAGATTGAAGACCTCTTTGTCCTTCACCATGCAGATAGATAAAATCCTGTTTTTTAGGGTTTTAAATTTAACGCCAAGAAGATATGGAAAAAAGGGGTTGATTTTGCCAACCCAAGAAGAAAGAATTACTCGTACTCGAAACACTAAGCTGGTATCCTTCAGATGGGTAATGAAGTCTCAAGAGAAGTTTAGCTTGTGAGAGTGCAAAAGGGCTTAAAGCAACATTGCTAAATCCACAGCTCCTCAACATTACTTCCCATGATCTGAATCTCTCGTGTCTTTCTCTTCTCTTATCTCCTTCTGCTGCTACTATATCAATTATTTCTCTCCCGAACCAAACTTGTTCTACTGTCATCCTCTCTCTACTGCTCGGTGGCAAAGTTGCTTCCAATGAATCAAACACAGCTGCATAATAATCCAAAGCCTCCACAAATCTTTGCAAAAAAAGTGGGTGATTATGATTTGCTTCTCTCTCGGCCAGCGTTACAACTTTAGGGTTCATGGATTTAATCCTATGCAAAAAAATCCTTAACTTTTCGCGGTCTTTCAAGAGCCTGTGAAGATAAAATACACAGTTGATTGCTAAAGTCTCATCAGGGAGAAGAACAATAGAAGAAATTATTGAAGGGTCATGATCATGGTCATTATTATTGGTGATCAAAAGAGGGTGAAACTGAAACCTAAGGCCTAAAGAGTGGGCAAATTTAGCTAAACGATCTCCGGTTCTACGAAGGGTATCAAGGTCATTTCCAGTACCGGTGATCCGAAGAGTTGGAGGAGGGTAACGATCAGCTAGTGCTTGCATTAATGGTGGCCATTGAACACCGTGATTAATATCAAAATCAACGATGTGGATCGCTTGTTGGTTATCGTTAATAGCTTCCAAAATGGCTTGATTAGCAGTTAGCTGACTAAATCTAATAAAAGGGGTCACTTGGTTTAGGGAAAGATAGGATGACTGAAGTAGAGCTAAATCATTTGAAGTTTCAACAACATTAGATGGTGTCAAGAAATTAGTGGGTGAAGAGATATAACGGTTGAGGCGAAGGGAAAGTGCGCGAGTGAACTGATGGACTAATCTTTCAGTTGAATCACCAAAAGGGGAAGAGTTAGTTGATAAAATGGAGAGGAGTCTGTTTGCCGCCGAGAAATCGGACCGCGAGATTAACTCCGCGCAGCTAATGAGTAGTTGCCGGATTTGGATTGCAGGGGAAGTGGAACTGAATCTCCGCCGTTGATCATCAGTTTCTTCATCATGAGATTGAGATGATGAACCAAAGGATCCTAACATATCACCGAAATAAAACTATTTCAGGTGAAAACCCTAGAAAGAGAAAGAAGAGAGAATATATGCGTCTAATAAAAAGAGAAAGGAGAGAGAGAGAGAGAGAGGAAAAGGGGGTGTCTCTGGGGGGAAAGGACAGAGGGGGTTTTCAATGATGGAGGAGGGGAAATTTATGGTTTTGGCATCTGAAATTAATACAGAGTTATCACTAGCTAGGGAGAAGGGAAAGTTAGTATATAATTTCACATTTTCTTGGCTATAGTAGTAGTACTAATTTGCGCATCAACATTAAGGAAGAACAACCTCATTTCCCAGTTTTGTGCTTTTGCCAGAATTAATACCAAGTACAAATAAGGAAATGGCCTACACCATCTGATATATTTGATGAATCATAGCTCTGTAGCAGAGAATAAATAATACTACTGTAACTAATTAAGTACTACTAAATAGGTTCTATTTCAAGAATGAATGCTTATAAACTTACATGCTAAGTTGCTTTTGTGCATGTACTTAAGATGCCAAATATGAGAATTGAGTTGATAATGACTTTTGATTATGATAGAATCCATCTTTACCACAATATGTGTGGGTTGTCCCTGGGGAACTTCACATTAGTCGGCCGACATATACTCGTAAATATGTTTCTTTGTGTCTTAATTTTTTTTTTAAATAATAAAAATCTTAAGACAACTGATCAACAATTTTTTTTATTTTTCATTTAAGGCACTTTCTCCAAATATAGCACTAGATCAACATCTTGGTCTTGTAGATTCCAACTGCGACAATAGGAATTTTTTTATCAAAACGTCTTTGAAAACTATTTTAAATTTCAAAAGGTAATGATATGATTCCGAATGATATAACACCAAAGCGCAGGTGATGATAATATGATTGTTTATTAAGCCAACCATTTCTATCAAACGCTCTTCCAAAAGGGTGTTGATCAAAATAAATTCGGACATTGATGCATAAAGTAGGTCATAACTGTCACACCCCTTCTCTATCCCAAAAATATACTATATGTTATGGATAGTGGGTTAAAGAGTTTTTTCAATTAAAGTGACAAATTTGAGTAATGATTATTTTATTTATAGAGTCGCCACTTGGAATTAATTTTTGCGTGTTTCACGTCACCTTTTATTTGAATCCCTAGTCAAAGGAAGGTTTGACTCTGTTATTATCGGTCTGCAAAAATAAAGTCCGGATAAGAATTTCTGTTGACAGGGGAGAAGGTGTAAGGCATTCCCCGAGTACGTGGTTCTAGTACAGTTGCCTTATTGACTTAAATTTGTCATGAATTATGGATAAATTGTGCTTTATTCGGTTTTCATGTTTTGCTATGTCCGCTTTTACTGTTGATGACTTAATTAATCTCAAACTAGGATGAGTATCCCCAACCGTAGCTTATGCTAACCAAGATGAGTATCCTCGACCTTAGTTCGTGCGCCGCACCTAAAATTGGAGCCAGGGGCGGATCTAAAGGTGTGAGTATGGGTTCCTGGGAACCCAGTAGCTTTTGGCTAGATCCCGTATTTGTATTAAGAAAATCACTCAATGTATAAGAATATTTAGTTGGGAACCCAATTCTTTAGTTCGGTTATTATAATATATTAATTTAAAGTCGATGTAGGAACCCATAAACCAAAAATCCAGGATCCGCCTCTGATTGGAGCCTACTCGAAGTTAATAAATAGCAACTTTATTTGAAAGAATTGGAATAAGACGTGTCTTCACGACCTGACCATTTTATTTATGTCTTTATTCCGAAAACGATCTTCCCAACATTGGTTAAGACGAAATTAATTATTTTTGTTAAAACAAATTACTTTTGAGTTAGTCATGATCATTTATGATTGAGTAATTGAGTTATTTTTATAAATAAATAAAACATCTAATCTTACTGAATTGATTTAGTGAACTAAATCTAATTTAATTTATTTGGTGGATTAATAAAAAAAAAGTGACGTAATACTTAACAAAAAAAATCTTTTGCTTCATTTTGGAGAGTTAACTAAACTATTACAATTTTTCTAAAACAAAGAATTAACTAGTTTTAAGGACTATGTTATGGAATTAACTAAAGGAGAAAAATAATTTTTTTTCTTTATGTGCATCGATTGTTCATTTTCCGACTAATATTTATTTTTTTCACATATGGGCAGTGTATGATTAGTTGGATTGACTTTGCGATTATCGATCACTGTTAATAATTTAAAAGATGAGACTAGTGTAAGAAGATTACCTTAACTAATTTATATTGCTTAAAACTTAAAAAAAATGTGGACTTGTGGTAATATTTAAAGGTAGCAGCCTATTTTACTGATTTTTACATAAGTTTGACACATTTCCTTTATTTCCAATTTTATCACGAAACCAACTAAGCTCAAACCAATCTTTTACTACTTATGCATAGCAACAACACGACTCAACTACTACTTCTAATTCAAATGCAAAATCAAAGTACCAACTTAATTGATGTTTAGTGTGAGCATTCATAAGCAGAGGCGGATCCAAGATCTAAATCCTATGGGTTTAATTTTTAATATTTTTAGCATTGGCCCCATTATACTTTTAAAGTTATGGGTTCATATCTACTATTTTTGCGATTTTAGTGAATTTTTACATATAAATTTTTACTCTGCGTCAAAAATTATGGGTTCAATTGAACCCGTAGATAATGCAATACATCCGCCCCTGTTCATAAGACTAACGAAAATAACAAACTACAATCTGGTACAAGTCTTCCTCCAAAGTCAAAACTACACACCGGAACTAATTTACAAGTCAAATTGGAGAACACTATTACATAGCACGAACATATCAATCGGCGAACATGATACCCTCCTTAGATTAACAAAGCAATTTCTCACAAACACAAAGTACCGGTGACTCCAAACAATAGAGTACTTACGAGCGAAAAATAAAATTAAGTCATGGTGTCAGCTAAAAATTTGAAGGATATGTTACAACTACAAAAATTTATTAAGCATGCTTCCATACCAAAAATTATACAAGAAACAGAATACTTTGAAGCTTATAATAAACTGGAGAGAACTCAAATAGCTTTATTCCATTCACTCTTAATCCAAAAATTACAGTAGCATATTATGGAATACCTGGATAAGAGAAAAAGCGAAGATCAGTGATGAATGAAACGAAAATTTCAGCAACAATGACAGCAAGACAATAGCAAAAGACAACAACAAATCACCAACTTGTGTCCCGAGAAACAACCCAGGAAATACCAGCAGTACGACACTCGAAACTGTAGCTAGTTGCTCCAGAAATTAACTAAAATTCCTCTATTTCTCACAAGTTTTGCACTCTAAGTGTAACGACCCGACTGGTCGTTTTGTGCAATTTCGTCCGATTCGGCAGTTTGAGGTCACGAGCAGCTTCATATTATGTGTATCGACTTGTGTGCAGGGTTGAATTAAGTTAACGGATAATTCAGAGTCAAATTGGAAGAAGGGAACTAGTTTTGGAAGTTTAAACGGTGAGAGTTTGACCGAAATTTGACTTATGAGTAAACGGCCCCGGAATGTTGTGGGTGGTCTCAATAGCTTCGTATGGTGATTTTGGACTTAGGCGACATTCGGGTTTGGAGTTGGAGGCCCATAGGGTAATTTTAGACTTGTGTGCATATTTGGGTTGGAGCCCCAAGGGCTCGGGTGAGCTCCGGGTTAGTTTTGGAATAACTTTTCATAGTCCTTCATTTCTGGTACTGGTGTCATCGCATTTGCGATGTTTATGCCGCATTGGCGAAGCTGGGCTGCTAAGGGATGGACTCGCATTTGCGAGGAAATCGCCGCTTTTGCGAGGCCTGTTGAGTTCGCATCTGCGGACTCAGCATCGCATTTGCGATAAAGGCCGGAGTTGAGTTAGTTCGCATTTGCGAACATTTGGGCCGCATTTGCGATGGCCTGCTTCGCATTTGCGAAGTGTCTCATCGCAATTGCGATGGAGACAGGAATCTTCAGGCTTCGCATTTTCGAAGTATTCTTTGCTTTTACGAGTTCGCATTTGCGAACCCAGTGTCGCAAATGCGACATCTGCAGCCTGCTAAAAGCTGAGTATTCCGAGTTTTTGCTCATTTTTCATATTTTTGAACCCTAAATCCGAGAGTGGGCGATTTTGAGAGAAGATTTTCATACCAAATCATTGGGTAAGTGCCTCTAATCAATTTCCAACTGTATTTTGTGATTTTATCTTAGATTTAACATCAAATTCATGAGAATCTAAAGGAAAATTTGGGGAAAAATTGTGAAATCTTTTAAAAATGTAAAATGATGATTTGAATGACCAAATGGTATCGAAATTAGATAATTTTTATATGGGTTAACTCGTAGAGGAATGGGTGTTCGGTTTTTATAAATTTTATCGGATTCCGAGGTGCGGGCCCGGGGAGTTGACTTTTGGTTGACTTTTTACAAATTGTATAAGAATCCTAGTTTTGTTAATTGAAATTGTTTTCTCTTGCATTGTTTGATGTATTCAAGTCATTTTTAGCTAGATTGAGCCGAGCGTTGATGAATTGGTAAAGTAAAAAGCTAAATTGGGTATTGAATTGGCCGGATTGAGGTAAGTATCTTGCCTAACCTTGTGTGGGGGACTTCCCCTTAGGGTTTGAGTCTTCTATGCTAATTGTAGTCAGTGCACGCGAGGTGACGAGTGTGTGCTCGGATTTATTTGTGGGAATTTGCCTCTAGGGTTCTTAGGTCCTTATGTTCATTATGTGTAAAATATTCCGTCATGCTTGAGTTTCCTAATTGCTTAAATTACCTCTATATGCTCTATATGATGTTTCTAGCTTTCCTCTAATTCTTACGTGTTACTTGACCCCTAATTGCCTTAATTGAAGTGATTGTCTCCCATATTATTTTGATACTTCTTGATTGTGAGTTCCTCTATGACTTCGTGCAAATATGTTACATGTCCATTTGTTATGGTTACCGGTGTAATTATCATGTGCTTATTATGTCTTGCTGCTTAGTTAAGATTTATGATTATTCTTCTTCGTATTTGGTTATTGTTGAGCGTTGGCTCTAGTTGAGGTTCAATTGTGAAGTTGATTATTGGTACAAGTTTGTTATAGCCGATTCCCTTGCCGGGACGTATTTATTCCTTATTGTTGATTTCCTTGCCGGGACGTATTTATACTCGTTGTTGATTCCCTTGCCGGGATATTGTTGTTGCTATTGTTTGAGTGAGGAAAGAGT